ATATCATTATTTTTAGAACTAAGAAAAAAGTAAACTTTGAAAACTAATTTTAAGTATATAATCTAAAATACATATAAAGTAAAAATAAGTCATGAAATCTGTATATACTATGATCTTAACTAATTTATTTCTTTATATTTCTGTACTCAACAAACATTTACAATAAAAAGAACATTTTGAAAGTAACTATATCAGAATATTATCTGTTATTGTCTCTGAGAAATGAGACTATAAATACTTATTTAATTATTCTAGCCTTTCAGCAATCATGGAATTATGTTACAATTACAAAAATCAGAAGAAAGGGAAGGTAGGAAGAAGAAAAGAAAGAAGGTATGAATATAGAAAGGGAAGAACTTAAGTTAAAAAAAAAAAAGAGAAAAAGGCAATAAAATGATGCATTGTTTTATGACTTGCCTGAGTAGAAAAGGAGATTTGAGAAAGAAAAACAATAAACTACCAAAAAAACAAAACAAAACAAAACAAAACAAAAACCTATACAAGTGGTTGAAACACAATGATTGCTTGTTGAGTGTAAAAACTAACCTTTTGTGAATATTTTCACCACTTTACAAGACCTTGGACTTTGAGTATGAATTGTTGATCTGTTACAGTTATGAGCTGCAGTTTGTCTTTTTCTCACTCTTGCCAGTTCATTCCTTTCATGTCAATGGAAGTGAGATTTAGTGATACAAAATGCATTTTTGTCAGCAAGTCATGCTTAGGATCCACACACAGTGAGGCATGTAGATAACACACGCTGCTCTTAATATCCCAACAATTCAACCTCCGTTTCTGACCTTTCCCACTTATGGCATATTGAAATATAAAAGTCCCAGTGTATGCAAACTTAAAAATGAGGAAATTTAAACATTTGTCCCGGGAAGGATGTAATTTGGTTTAACAACTATGCTCACTAACTCTGAGTGTAAAATCTTAGCAGAGGGACTGGGTGGGGTTTACATGATACTATTAAATTCAATAAAGAGAAGAAAGGGTCTATTCATTCATTCACCCATTCAAACTAATTTTTTCATTGTACTTTTTATTGTTTGTTATCCCTAAAAGGATGAAATTCAATATGTAAAATATGTTTTTTTAAGAGATGAATCAGCTCTAATGCCAAATTCGATAACCTCAGCTGCTAAATTCACATTTCATTATCATAAGAGGGGGGAAAATAAATGATGCCCCAAATGTTAACTATTTTTCTCAGAAGCTCCAATCTGGAAATGAAGGGTAAGTTATTGGAGTGCTTAGAAACCAAATTGATACTTGGAAAATAAAACTCACATAATGATTTTTGCAGCCAGTGTATTTATTCTGAATCCGACAGCCATTAATACACTTTAAACTCCAGGGAATGGAAGGAACCAATGTGAGTTACTTTATTATCTCATTTATAGGGGATATATGACTTTAGAAAGAACTGTGATTACAGAAAATTTGGCTTCACCCCTTCATTGTCTGATACTTAATGTATTTATTCTGGAGATCCTATCTTCTCTAGCATAGAAATACCACAAAGATCTCATGCAATTACATGAAATGCTCTCTTTCAATGCCTTTGAAATTTCCAAAGAAGAAAATCATCCTTCAAACAGTTGGTAGTAAAACCTTCTGACAATAAGAAGCCCTAATAAGAGATGATGGGTCTATGTAAGTGATTAACAACTTTAATATTTATGTTGCCATATGGCTAATTCATGGTTTAAGCAAGGTAGGGCTGCATTGATTTTAGCCTTCTAGTTTGTGTTAAGATCACAGCTTGCTAGATACAAACCTCTCTGAGTTAGATATTCATTTCAAGAAATGCAACATATTGATGGATCTCTTCTATTTGTCTCTTTGAACATTTGTCTTGTTATTCCCATCACAGAGAGGGTATACTAGAGCAACATGGAGCAATTAACAGAGCAAGGGATCTGGATTCAGGTGACCTGGGTTCTAGGTTTGTATCTATCTTATAAAAAATGACTCAAAGCAAGTTCTAAGCATCTCTGGACCACAGTGTTCTCCTGGGCAACATGAGGATTGACCACTGTATTATAATATCAACTGACTCTGCAGTCTTAAAAATCCATCTCCTATGAATAAAGATGTGAAACCGAAGTAAAGGGACCATATTATTTGACAAAATACAACTCATTCTGAAAAAAAAATCAAAGTGCTAGAGATGAATTACATTACTACAAAAGTGCCGAGACCAGCTCGGTCAGGGAGACCCTAACCCAGTGGCGCTAGAGGAATTAAAGACACACACAGAGAAATATAGAGGTGTGGAGTGGAAGGGAAATCAGAGGTTTCACAGTCTTCAGAGCCGAGAACCTCGAAGAGAGATTTACCCATGTATTTATTGACAGCAAGCCAGTGATTAGCATTGTTTCTATAGATTAAGTATTCCTTATGGGAAACGAAGGGATGGGCTGAAATATAGGGATGGGTTGGGCTAATTATCTGCAGCAGGAGCATGTCCTTAAGGCACTGATCGCTCATGCTACTGTTTGTGGTTTTAAAATGCCTTTAAGCTGTTTTCTGCCCTGGATGGGCCAGGTGTCCCTTGCCCTCATTCCGGTAAACCCACAACCTTCCAATGTGGGCGTCATGGCCATCACGAACACGTCACAGTGCTGCAGAGATTTTGTTTATGGCCAGTTTTGGGGCCAGTTTATGACCAGATTTTGAGAGGCCTGACCCCAACACAAAAGGGTCATTGTTTTGCTTTGTGCTTCAAATGTAGACACTAATATAGCCAAAGAGGTTGACCAAAACTAGATTTGTAGGGTATACATTTAAATTAATTATCAGGACATTAAAAACTGCTCTAAATAAGTAATCAAATTACATTGGTTGGTTGGTTTTGTACCATTGGTTGGTCCTAGTTCAAAAATGCTTACATGTTTAGAGAAAATACTAAACAATAACAGATGATACTATAAAAAATGTGTGTGCATTCTTAAAAACAGTCTTACAGGACATTTTATTAACTGTGTTTTACAAAACCCAAAATAATTTTCCAACTATGTCTCACAACACATTTAGAAGGAAATTTGTAATGCATAGGAGAAAGTAAGAAAAAGGACCAGAATTTTCAATTAAAATTGACCTTTAAATTTCACAATGGACAAAAATCGAATCAGTGTCTACAATGCTAATATAGATAAAAATAGTGATGATTGTATCCTGGCTAACATGGTGAAACCCTGTCTCTACTAAAAATACAAAAAATTAGCCAGGAGTGGTGGCAGGCACCTGTAGTCCCAGCTACTCAGGAGGCTGAGTCAGGAGAATGACGTGAACCTGGGAGGCAGAGCTTGCAGTGAGCTGAGATCGTGCCACTGCACTCCAGTCTGGGTGACAGAGTGAGACTCTGTCTACATAATAATAATAATAATAATAATGATTGTAATAATAGGAATAATATTTAGCATATGTGAGTGCTACGATATCAGGAAAGCACTGTGATAAGCACTTGTATTGCATTATATCACTGAATTTCCCTAATAATCCTATAAAGTAGATAATATTATGTGACTTTACAGAGCAGGAAACTTGCTGACGTTCAATGTGAAAGTTGAACACTGACTACCCATAGGTACTAAGAAAGGAGCAATAGACATCGGGGCCTGCTGGAGGGTAGAGGGTGGCAGGAAGGTGAGGATCAACAAACTACCCATCAGGTACTATGCTCATTACTTGGATGATGAAATAATCTCTACACCAAACCCCCATGTCAGGCAACTTATCCATGGAACACACCTGAACATACACCCCTTGAACCTAAAATCAAAGGTGGAAGGGGGAAAAAAAAAAAGTAAAATGGCAGAATGAACAGGAATAAATATATTTGTTTTTCTCAAAGTGGTTTCTTCAAATTATAGCTAGATAGTGTTGCTTTAGTCATATTTAATCTGGCTCTGCCCATACAGCAATTACAAAACTGAGAAAAATAGTTTTCCCTTGGGAACTTCCTATGCTCCTTGCTAGATATTGTCTTTATTTGTCTAGTGTTTATTTTTTTAACTTTATTTTATTGAAGTGTAACACATAAAGTACACCAATATCACTTGTACAGTTTAACTTTTACAAAGTGTGCACACTTAGACAACTTCCACCAAGATTAATATGTATAACATTTCCAGCAGCCCAGCACTCGGCCTCATGGCCTCCCATGGTCATTGCCCATCCAATGAAATAAAAGTGCCATTGTGGCTTTTACCACTGTGGATTAATTTCTTGGTTTTATAGCTACATATATATATGTGTGTGTGTGTGTGTATATATATGCATATATATACACATATGTAAGTTTATATATACACACATACATATGCATATTTTTTAAACTTTTAAGCTCAGGGATACATGTACAGGTTGTGCAGATTTATTACATAGGTAAACGTGTGTCATGGTGGTTTGCTGCACAGATCATTCCATCACATAGGTGTTAAGCCCAGCATCCATTAGCTATTCTTTCTGATGCTCTCCCTTCCCTTATCCTTACAAGCTTCTGTGTGTGTTGCTCCCCCGTCCACGTGTTGTCGTCATTCAGCTCCCACTTGTAAGTGTGAACATCTGGTGTTTGTTTTTCTGTTCCTGCATTAGTTTGATGAGGATAACGGCTTACAGCTCCATCCACCTTCCTGCAAAGGACATGACCCTGTTCCTTTGTATGGCTGCACAGTATTCCATGGTGCGTATGTACCACATTTTCCTTATCCTGTCTATGTCTATCATTGTTGGGCATTTAGATTGATTCAGCATCTTTGCTAATGTTATTCATGATGAATAACATTATATATATATAATGATGCAATGAACATGCACATGCATGTATCTTTATAATAAAGTGATTTACATTCTTTTGGGAATATACCCAGTAATGGGATTGCTGTGTCAAATGGTATTTCTGCCTCTAGGTCTTTGAGGAATTGCCACATTATTCAAAAGAATACATACATGCAGCCAACAAATGCATGAAAAGTAGCTCAACATCACTGATCATTAGAGAAATGCAAATCCAAACCACAATGAGATACCATCTCACTCAAGTAATACATCTTAATAGCAGCCATTTGTACTCGTTCATCAGTGACTTCTTTCACTCAAACTCAAAATCATGTGTGTGGTTTATCTCTGTTCTTACGAATAGGAGTAATTTGTTGTTTTTAATTGATGTACAGTACTTCATTGTATATACAATAATTTATGTATCCAATTCACTTGTGAGGAGCATTGGAAAATTTGACAAAATTGGGGCCAATATAAATGATGCTGCTGTTGACATTCTTCTTTGTATCTTTCAATGCATATATATGGATATACCAGTTGACTGAAACACAGACACATTACAATTTAGAATTTATCCTGTGCGAGTGTGTGTGTGTGTGTACAAAATATTAGGTGACATGTTATTTTAATAGATACTGGAAACAAGTTTTCAGAAGTATTTGTAACATTTAATTTACCCTTAATTATTAAGACCTGTAATTGTTCAACATGCAAGTCAACACACTTAATATTGTCTATTGTCTATTTATTTATTTTTTATTTGTTTGTTTAATTTAAGCAATTATTTATTTTTTATTTTTTGGTTTAACATGTTTTATTACATTTAAGCCTCACACGAAACTTGGTAGATACAAATGTCAAGTCAGTTTACAGATGAGAAAAAAATGAGTCTCAGAGAAGCTTTCCTGTTGCATATCAGGAGATGGCAGGTCTTGGATGGACATGGCAGATGATACCTTCTTGATCATTAAGGTGGGGGAGTTTGGTGTCCAAGCCTGGGGTCAGTGGAGAGCACCACGATGAGGACAGCTCTGTAACCCAAACACAGCAGAGTGCCAGAAAGACCGTGAAAGACTCACACTTGACAGCATCACTTCGGGCCTCCAGGGTCCTGTGGTCAGCTAGAGAGGTGTGATGATGATACTAGACTCAGGAGACTGAGCTGGCAATTCTGATGAGCGTATACTGGTATGTCTTTGATATCATTGCCTTTAAATTGGCATTTCTCTAATGAAGTACCATTTTGTAAAACTTTATGGTATGATTTAGCTGTGTTCCCACCCAAATCTTATTTTGAATTGCATTTCCCATAATCCCCATGTATCGTGGGAGGGACCTGATGGGAGGTAATTTAATAAGGGGGATGGTTACCCTCATGCTGCCCTAGTGACAGTGAGTGAATTCTCATGAGATCTGATGATTTTATAAGTGGCTTTTCCCCCTTTTGCTCAGCACTTCTCCTTGTTGCCGTCATGTGAAGGACATGTTTGCTTCCCCTTCTGTCATGCTTGTAAGTTTCCTGAGACCTCTCCAGCCATAGGGACCTGTGAGTCAATTAAACCTCTTTCTTTTATAAATTACCTAGTCTCACGTATGTCTTTATTAGCAGCATGAGAAAGGACCAATACGATTCACATATGTGTGTTGACCTTCTAGATATGTTCTTTTTTGAACTGCCTGTGCTATTTTTTGTGTTTGTTTTTTTCTATAAAGTGTTTTTTGTCTTTTTCTTATTGCTTTAAAGATATTCTTTATAAATATTAGATGTAAGTCTTTTGTCAGACGTGTGCATAGCAAACATTTTCTTTCTCTACTTTGCATTTTATTTCTCTGAATAGTTTATTTTGATGGAAAGGAACTCTTAATTCCTTTCTTTAACTACATCCAGCTTATCAAACCTTTCTTTTGTGAATTCTCCACCATTTAAGAAGTATTTGTCCACCCCATGTCATAAGGATATTCTCCTATATTATCTTCCACATGCTTTATGGTTTCTCTATTAAATTTTAAGTGGCAGTGGAAGTCAACCTATTTATAATATGCCTAATCACCTGCATAAAAGACCATTTTGTTCTATTTTGTTTCACAAATCCCCTTAAAACTCTGTTGAAAACTGTAAACGCTCCTCCTATGCTATAGAAAAAACACGGGGGAAGGTTTTACTAGTTACCTTCACTGTTGAAAAATTCATCCACTGGACTTTATCCCCTGCCTCTATGTTGTATGCCTAAAAATGTAGGAAGACTGGAATCCAGGAATGTGTCATCATAGCAACCTAAGAAATAACAGAGTGATTGGATTATTCAAAGGGCACAGAAAATGACTTTTAAAAAAGAAAGGTGGTGGTCTTAGAACAAATAAAATACATTTCTGAAAACCCTTCCACAGGATCAGCAATAAGTTCCTGCAGTAAATAAAAGCTTCAGTCAAAGAGAAATCATTTTTTCATGATTTTGGCAAAAATATGCAGACACTTTCTTTAGGTTACTGCAGTATAAGATACCTTAGATACTGGCCTATATTAATCCAAGCAACAGTAGAGTTTCTCCAGGAGGCCTAAAGGAAACAGATTTAGGGGTTCCACAACTGTCAGAATCAAGAGGCAGTAGACAGTTTCAGCCTTCCCATTTGCTAGAGAGATAAGCAAATATATATCTGAGTTCTCTTAGGAAATATCCCAATATTTATACATAGTAAGAAGAGTTAATTATGGATACACAATGTTTTCTAATCAATTAAACACAAAGTAACTTAGATATAATAAGGCTTTTCTGGAATTTTAGACATGCTCACCATTGTTAAGAAATGTGTATAATTTACTAAATACTATTGGATAAAATCTATTACTTAAGGGAAATATTTAATGGGTTTAAAAATTGAAATGCTACAAAAATCATTTTTAAAATAATTAAAAGTAAGAAAAAAGGTTGTGTTGAAAATGTATAACATACATTGAGCAAGATTTTAGCAACTTCAATAGAACAACTGTTAATTATTTTAAAAAACAAGAGATGGCTGCAGTGTTTGAATGATGAGTTAATGAAACACAACAGGTGATTTAAATAAATTATGAACGTACATTAAAACTTTTGGCTGGCACAATCCTCATTGCTATAATTATTCCTAATAGATTTAGAGTTTAGAGAACTGGTTACTCAAACATGTCTGTGTTTGTGTGTGGAAAAAAGAAAAACAGGATGTAAAATGCAGGAGAACTTCAACTCACTAAACATTTCAAAACAAAGATGGAGGAATTTGAAGTACTTGAGGCAGCAAATGTTTACCTTGCCATTCCATATCAGGCATGCAATAGCAGACATAGCATTCATGTATTCATTCCTAATGAATACTAATAGATGATTTCACCAGTCAAAATCAATGAAAATCAGATAATTTAGAGAATGCATGGAGTGTACCAACAAAATATATTCCTGACAACACAGAAGGAAATACTCTTGAGCAACTAAACTTCTACAGACTCCTCCAGAAAAATAGTATTAATGTAATTATGCAAGAAAAATTTGGAGATTTGGGGACAATATGTTAATAGGAACGAGATCTGTAATGATATGGAAAATATGAACTCGTGAGTTAGTCAATTAACTCATGAGCAGAATGGTATAGCTCAAAGAATCTGAGTTCGAGAGACCAATAGGTCTGTTTGGATAATAGCTTTCTCAGTGTTTAGTCTCTCAGGTACAGTTTTCTCACATATAAAATCACTGTAAAAAAAATGCCTACATTGCAAAGCTGTTTTGTGAGCTGTAAATATATAAAGTGCCTGAAGATGCAGTCAATGCATGAACACTCTCATTGGGACTAATAATGTCCTTCTCTTTTCATGAATATCTTTTGTGTCCATGAAATGGGGAGAAAAATCCTTGAAATTCCTGTCAAACTTGAGAACTCTGGGAAGAAGTAAAATATGACCTTAGGCTATTAAATCTTAGAAAATAAAAATCTAACAACTTCCAATTCAGTCTTCTGCCTGCTACCTACCTGCCATGTGGCCTAGAGGTGCTAAAAAAGCATTTTATCGAAATGCTGGTGTTCTGACCACTAGCAGCAACCTTATTTTCATTGCTTAGTTGACTGGAAAGGGTCGCCATCCATACATATTGCAATTTTGATATTGCGGAGTCACATTGCAATTGTTCTACGAATTGCCTCTGGTGGTCACAATTGTTCATCTTTATCAGTCAGACCCAGAGCTCAACAGGGCCATTGTGAAACTGCAGGTGAAATCCGTTCCCGGCCTTCTACATCAGTCCCCAGTGACCCTCAGCCTCAAACCACCACGTAGGATGTTCTGTTCGAGGCACTTATACGCTCATGGGCCTCATGAATTATCACCGACAAGAAATACATTTATTTCCATGTGAATTCCATCATTAACAGTGCTATAAATAATGGTAAGCCAGAGGAAAAATTTTTAATTGGAAGCACATGGGCAAGGATTTTAAGTTTCCTTCTATTTCATCAGGGTGATTTTATTTCCATGGGCATTCATTATCGTACCTGACAACTGATGGCTTTATAGGTGATTTTATTGGAGGTTTTAGAGAAGACTTAAACAGGCAGAGATTAGCAAAGTAACAAGTGACGTTGTCAAGCAGGGAGGTGGTCATCACTGCGTAGGCAGAGAAAGGGGAGGAAAGGTGAAGAGTCTACCACTCATCATTTTTTTTCACACGGAAGCAATGTGAAGGTTGATAAGATGGAAAAATGGCATTAGACAGAGTTAATGAGAATAGCTAATAGAAAAAGTGGTTCTACAATTGAAACATACCTCGAAATTTCACACAACAAAGTGGTAACCAGGTCACATTGCCGAGAGCACTGAGCTATGTGAAACTAAAGCAGAAAAGCAAAAAGTCCCACTGCCAAATTTACTTTCAGGCCTCTGCTGAATGGCCATCTTTCAGCCCAGAGCCAGGAATTGATTCTCTGGCATCTCTTTTCTCAATATTTTGAATTTGGATGTATCAATTTGTGAGCACTTGAACCATAAGCAAATATATGCCTAAGAGGTTCTTGTTTTGTACAAGCATGGAGTGAATCATTCATCATTTATATTTTATTTTAACAAGGTAAATGAGACAAGACAATGATCCTGTACATGCTCACATTAATATAACTAATTTATCTTTCATGTGCAGATTTTTAGACTAATAGTTGCCCTGAGATGCATCCCATTCCTAAAACACATGTAAAATTATTTGGGAGTAGGCTTGTGGTATGTACCAATCAATGGAGTAGTTTCAAAAATCCAAAATTTAGAAATGATAGAAATAAAAGCAAGTATTTACTGATTATGGATTTTCATACCTATTATTCATAGCATTATGTTTTCATGCATATACTTAGACTTAATATTCAGCACAACAATATGCAGTAGTTACTCATATTTTAACAATAAGGAAACAGGCTAAAATGGCATAAATGTTAACCATTTCTCCAGCCAAAGAAATATAAACTGGTATGAGAGATACTTGATCCCCAAATTATCTGATTATAAAACCCATAATCTTTTCAACTACTTCAAACTTGGTAAGTGACTGATACCATGACAGACATTCAGGGAATTGTTGGAGCAAAATAAAACTTGTTTTATCAAAATAATAAAAATGTGTGTATTTTAATAGGGTATATTATATCCTGTTTTATTAAGATATTTCTCAGTTATCAGAAAATCTTTCTATAATTAGACAGACAGTCAAAATGGAATAGCAAATAAAAACAATTTGAAAGACCTGATAATAACTTTAATGATGCATTATGTAGGTGCTTCATATTTTATTTTTAAAAAGAGTAGAAAATGCTATCCAGAAACCACAAACCATGTGAAATCTGCCTTTTGCTTCAAAACAAATATTTCTATAAAGACAAAAAATTAGTGATGCTTTGAGATGTATTTTCAGAGTTTTAAAGCTACCAATTTTATTTTTTGAAGAACAGAGCCTAAGACTTAATAGTTATGCAAAAGATAAATCATCTAACCATGTAATTAACTCAAAATTACAATGGCAATAAAGGTACAGTTAAATTCATATTGATATATGAAATTGTATAGAATGTTAATACACTTAATTGACATTTAATAAGATAGCTGCAGCAAGTTAATTGGATATCAATTTACGTAGTTCATAAATGTCATTTTTTAAATAATTAAGCTCATATCCTGAAGTTAATGTTCATATAGTTTACCATGAATTATTAACATATATTTATTTATATATATATAATGTGTTTCAGTCTTCCACATGTCTTTTAATCAAAAAAAACATTTATTTCTTATTTATTTCTGCTTGTCAGTTAATGTGCAGAAACATAATACATTAATTTTCATCATTACAACTGAAATCAAACTTACATGGCCACTTACTATTGTTCCTTAAAGCCTGCAGAATACACCCAGTTAAAACTAAAAATCTTTTCTTCTTATCAAGTTCTTGAAAAAGACCTCAAATTTACTCTTTTCTCTAAGCTTACTTAACTCTCCTTCACCTATAAGAAATTTCTTCTTGCTGTCTCCTCCTTTTGGGTCTTGGAAACTGTGTCCTACCAATAACTACTATTTAATTTTATGGCCTTGGAGTTGCTGGGTAAAGATGAAAAACAATAAGGCTGATGCACAAATGGTTCCTTCTTTATTTCATAATCAAGTAGAGAAAAATAAACGTAAAGTTTAAAATATTACAATAGGTATAATTTCATCAGCAATATTACGTCACAGACTTGGAAAAGTTAAGGCCATACCTATTGGTCCAGCTAGATAAGCTAGACAAGATATCAAAAAGAATTGCCCTAACTACGTCAGAACACAAAGTTATCTGAATCTAGCTGCCCATATTAAGAGCAAGATGAAAACCAAATGAGCTAGCAACTCTTCAAATGTAGTGTGAGCAAAACATAACCAAAGGAATAGAAACTACTTCAATAAAAGAGTTCTCTAAAATTGTACCATCTGATAAGGATTAGGTGATAGTTTGAATTCAATGAAATAAGTGTATAATGAACATTAATTATGAAAAATGCGTGAGATTTTGTTTTTAAAGCAGCACCAAGGGAAAACATTGAGTATAAAGTAATCATGCATTGGAAACAACAAATAACAAAATAGACATGGCCAAATATTAGTTAATTTAATCAAAAACATATTGCACAGAAAAAAATGATGCAGTTGCTGTGAAGGGTTAGAAAAAAGAGACTAAAGCAATTCAGGAAAAGATGACAAATACAAAGACCATAGGAAACTAATGTAACCTACAGTTT